CCACAGACACAGATGGGCCTTCCACATGTGAACTTCCCACCTGTATACCCCACAGACCATGCTGTGTATGCACGTGTGTGGCTGTGTGTTGTGCGTTTATAGCCATGTACCCACGTGAATGTGAGGCAGGGTGGGCACAAAGCAGATCAGGATGTAGGAGGGGAGGTACGCTGACCTCCATGGCCCACCTTTTCCTCTAAGTCTTTTGCAGGGATCCCGGTCCCTGGGGATCCTCAGGAGCTGGAGTGTGGACGCTGCTGGCATGATGGTTTCTGGATGCCATCACCCAGGGCCTGACTTCGGGGAGGGGAGGGACTGGGGACTGTGTCACTGGAAAACTAATTTCCAGCCCAGAAGAGGTGGGGTTCTGCACTGCCAGCCCTGAGCTGGGCCCCCGCCATCCTGGGCCACTCTGCCTCAGAGGCCCACTGGTTGCTATGGAGAGGACCAAGCATCTTGGAGCACAATAGGCCCCCCCTTCCTGAACACCCAGGGAGCCCAGCAGACAAAGGGGCAGCCAGTCTGGTCCCCAAGTCTGTCCCCTCCTCCAACCGTGGGGTGGGGCTCCAGTACAGAGCAGGGATTGGGTGGGAGGCCAACGCACTCCCCAGCTTCAGGGTCCTTGGGTGCTTGATGTTGGCCTCCCTAGAGGTTTGTTAATGAGTGAATCACAGCCACTACCACAGCAGGCGCTGAGCTATGGGGCCAACGGCTTGGCTTTAGGCTCAGCTTTAATCCTCCCTGCAGCCGTGAGGTCAGCACTGATACCCCTGTTTACAGAGGATAGAGAAGGCCAGGAGAGGCCATGACTTGCGCCGAGTCACACAGCACATGTGTCCCCCAGCCAGTGGCTGACAGTGGCTCTTGCTTTCGGAAAGTCAGCCTTCTCTGTGCCTCTTTGAGACAGGACACTAACTTCACTCTGAGGCCAAGATGAAAACTTGAGGCAGTGGGTCACCGACCCAGCTTTTGGTATGGAACCCAGACTTCAAAGGAAATTTTAGGGATCCTCAGAAGTCTATTAAGAGTTACCAATGAAGTACTTAAAAGTGGCCTGTACAGGTGGCAGGTCCAGAGTCGCCCACCCCTGGGGCAGCACCCAGTTCTCTGAGACCATAATTTGGAAACCCTGGGAGTCTCCAGAGTCAGAGACAGGCAGACAGGCTACTAGCATCAAATGATGCCTGCTAGCCTCCCGGTGTAAACACGTGTGATAGAGTATTTCAGACTCTGCCACCTTTTAGAACCTGTGCCCTTTCCTGATGAGGCTGAGTGGGCACAGCAGTGAACCTGAACCCTTCTCCAGCCCCACCCTCTGCCCAGCCAGGGTGGGGGAACAGTTTCCCCTCTCTATATGGGAGATGTGTCCTAGGAGGAGACAGCAGGCAGGTCCTTGGAAATACATCTACTCTTGCCTTGGGACAGGCAGTTTCCTGGAACTGACCCTTTGCAAAGCACTCTTTGGGGTTCTGACTCAACTTGCAGGTGTGAAGGCCCTGGGTCTGCTCAGAGAAGGAGGCTGCCAGCTGCAGCCAGGATCCTTGCAGTGCCGGGGATCGAACCCATCAGTGGGTTAGACAGTTATGTTATGTTGTGCAGTGCTGCCCGGCGAGCCACACCCACAGCCCCTGCACCTCCATTCTGAGAAGGGGCATTGTGAGGGTGGTCACGTGTGTCTCCATTCTGTTAGACTCTTCCTAGTGCAAACGTGAGCCTGGGGACGATACACTAAGACCGCAAAGTGAAGGTGGCGATTTCACCACACTGGCAGAACTCTGAAGATCTGGTTCTTAGCTTTTGGAGGGATGGTCTTGGGCAGTTTTTGTTTTTCTTGGGGACAGAATCTTGCTATGGTTCCGGCTGGTCTTGAACTCACTATGTACCTCAGGCTGGCCTCGAACTTGTGGTGATCCTCCTGTCTCAGCCTCCAGACTGCTGGAATTACAGCGAGTATTGCAATTACAGGCAAGAACCTCCGTGGCTGATCTTGGGCAATTTTATCAGCCTCTTTGCCTTAAAAAGCAGTTTTCTTAACAGCTCCCCGCTTCTGGTTGGAACCAAATATAACAATGTAATAATAGGTGCAAGTACTAGCACGTAGTGTGCATGAAGTGAATGGATCGCTCCCGCCTGCTTCCCCTGCGGGGAGGCCGCAGGTCGAGGACAGGGGCTGCGGTCCGTTAATCCCTCCCCTGCCAGGTCAGCCCAGGCAGCCCCAAAGGTCAGCAGGGATTTGTAAAGATAAGCACAGGCCCCTCGTTGCCGTGGCAACAGACCCCGCCCCTCCAGCTCGGCCCGCGACAGCCCCGCCCTCGCCCGCCTGCTCCCTTCTCTGAGCCAACCTGGCCTCCTGGGCTCCCCCAGACAGACACCACCCCGAGGACTAGCGTTCCTGCCCCTCGGTGCGCAAAGGAATCCCCTGGAGCAAGTGCAGTGGCTCTGGATCGATAGGTCTCTGGTGGACTCTGGGTCACTCTGGAAAGCTGGGACTGGGGACTCTGGAGCAGCCAGAACGCTGATTCCAGCCCCTCTTGGGCTGTGGACTGGGAAGTGGCTTCTTCCCCGAGTTTCACTTTACTCCGAGGATGGACTGCTCTGGCCCTGGGAGGACCCCAGGGAGGGCAAACTGTAAGAAGCCCCCCTCCCCACCTGGTTCTGTCTCCCTCACTTGGAGGGCTCGGAACTGGGGCCCAGCTCCAGACTGGCGTGGGGACCCCGTGGGCACACAGGTGAGGAGTGGAGCCCTGTTGGGGTTAAGATGGGGTGCTCTTTGCACAGGGCCCAGCAGCCACTTCACCACAGCATCCTTGACCACGATCCTCCGGAGTCGTGTGGGCCAAGTGTCCCCAACTGGCATGAGCTAAAGCCCCACACAGGGCTCCCTGGGTGCCGGGGCTGCATGCAACCACCTCAGAACCCTCACAGTGCCCCTACCTAGGGCTACTGTTGGCATCTCAGTTACAAACTAGATCTGATGCCCAAAACCTTTGCCCTTTCTGAGGGAGCTTGACCCATGCCCACCCCCATCAGACCTTCTTCCCCTCTTTATCAGACCACCTTCCTTCCCTTTATCAGCCCCCCCCCACCCCCGGGCATCTGGCTTGGGGAAGCTGACTGTAAACTGTGAAACCTCAGGCCCAGACACCTCCTCCCCTGTGACCAGGTCTGGCAGATGGGCTGGCAACGGATGCCCTGAGCAGAGGAAGTCCCTTCGTGCCTGCCACACACTTGGCCCTGGTGGTGGCCCTTGCTGGGTCCCCAGTCTGAACAGCTGAGCCCATGTTGAACTGCACCAGGGGCTGGGGCACTGGAGGTGGGACTGGCTGTCTATATCTACCTAGCTCATGTCCCCTGTCCTGCTAGGGCCTCTGGGGCGTGTGGGGGTCAGGCCAGCCCTGTTGGAGGAATGTGGATGACGCCTGCGAGGCTGCCACCCTTATCTGGGGGTCTTCGCAGGGGGGAGAGGGGAGGGTGCAGGGCCTGGCCACTCTGGGCCTGGTTAGTGTCTGGATGACAACCTGGGTTAGGGGAGGGGAGCTCCAGGTGGGGCTCCTGCTGGAGGCCCCTCCCCCGGTGAGTTCCTGGCTCCACCAAGCACCCAAGCTTTGACCTCTTACCGTTCATCAGAGGCACGTCGGAGGGACACACTATTCTCATTCCCTGTCCTGGCTGGGCATGGCTCTGTAGGAAGAATGACTTGCCGGATGTCTCACAGGCATTTTCACAGCTGGGATTTGAACCCAGGCCTGTTAGCGACGAGTGGGAAGGGAGGATGGGAGGAAGGCGGGGGACTCCCTGGGTCTCATGGAGACCTCGAAGTGCTGAGTCAGGGGCTCAGGGCGCAGGTCTCAACACCAGCTCTGTCCGTGTGACCTTGGCCAGGGTGCCCCCCCCCCCCCCCCCCCCCGTCAAGGCACTTGCTGAGTGGTGCATGAATGACAGGAAGGCAGGGATCCTCAGAAGCTCCCAGGCCAGCAGGCTGGAGGGCGGGAGTGAGGCCCAGCCTTTGAAGTCACCCATCCCTTCTAGGAGGCCGAGGTCAGACTTCTCCTGTTGCTTGCGATGGAGTTACCAGCCCCACAGCAGGAGAGGAGAGGAG